AATCTGCAGTGTCAGGGGCCTTGCTTTTAATACCAACAGGGCATTTGCCCCTCTCCTCTTTGCTGTGCTCTCTCTGCTTCCCATCTGAGAGATGATGTGGGATTTATTGATCCCAGCTTTAGGGACTTGTTGTATTTATGAACCCAGACTGCAGTATAAAGGTACAAATGCCATTTGAAAGGGGAAGATCTATATTGGAATGACAAAGAGAATAGATTAAAACAGCCTCCCCTCTCTAATGGTCTGTGGGGCTGATGTTACCAAAGGGAATGCCCTGGTGCTGTCTACCTGAACCATGCTTGAAAGTCTCCAGCTTCAGGGGATTTTTCTTGAGCACTGTATTGATTTTTGTTACTACATTAAGCTTTTAGCTTTGCAAATGGTTTTCTTTGAAATGATTAATACTGCAATGCGCAGCTCGAGGGGTGAAATAGCTCTGCTGCTGTTGTGTAGGTAACAACTGCAGTCGCTTCCATCTCCCCTTCCTCTGCTGAAGCCCCTCAGCTAATGCGCCTGGAGGAGGGTGAGGAGAAGAGGAAGTAACGTGGGGAGCCAGGGTGGCCTCCGAGCTGGGTGAGGAATAACAAGCCTTTGATAAATGGAAGGCAATGGTTTAAGCTTTCTTGGTGGTTGTGAGTCTGGACTGGGGTGGGGGAGCTGGAGCCGGGGTCCTCGGGTGGGTCTGTGGTTGTGCTGAATGGATGTGGGGAGGCTGTGGCAGCTCATTAGGGGCTGAGAGCTGTCATCAGTGTGTTTCTTCCTGCTTGAACAAGGAATCTGAGATAAACTCGGTTATCAGGTAAACTCAGACATTCTCACCTCGAGACTGAAGACAGTTAAGAGTAAGTGGTGACAGGGCCCGACTGGAGGGTTGCTGCTAGCGTTGGACCGAGGTTTAAACAAGGTCTCAGGTTTTTCTGCTGTTGGAGAGATTAGCACAGCTGAGTCAGTAAATCCAGATGGTTATGGTTGTTTCACATCTCTCCAGCTCCCTGTCTGATGGGAGCTGCTTGCAGTCAGGAGCATGTTACTGCAAATGCAGCTGTGCTGCTTGTAGCAGCTTATCCATCCATCCCCTGCCTCCTCCCTCTGTCACTCAGTCTTCTCTATGCCTGGCTTCCTGCTTCCAGGGCTGTCCCTCACCCCAGGGATATGGGGGAGATACTGCAACGTAGGTGGATGCTGCAAAACTGTCATCCTGTACCAAAGATTGCAGAGACACGCACAGGGATGCCCAGGCAGGGTGGGGATTATCCGCAGTGGGAATGGTCTCCTCTTGCACTTGTGAGGAGAGGAGGTTAGTGCCAGCCCTTTTGCTCTAGAGGGGGTGACTTGTCTCTTGGCTGTTTCTATTTGCTGTTGACTGTTTCTCAACCCCTTTAAGGGGGTCCCTCCCAACCCAAATCACAGTCTGTGATTTAGTTGTTAGTATTTAGATCCCTATCAAATCTCCATGCAGACAGCTCGGTCAAGAGGCAATTGGTCTCGTCACTAGGAGGTTCCTGAGGTTTGCTGACATGTGCTTGAGGATGTGACAAGCCTCCTACCTCAGCAAGTAGCAGGGAAAAAAGTGTGTGTGTCCCCCGTCCACTGGTGTGTCAAAACCTCCAGTTCTGTGTAAAGTTGTTAAATAAGCTTCCAGGCAAAATAAAAGATCAAAAGGGGTCTAATTAGCTGCAGTCTGCTCAGGAATTGTGGATGTTCACCTAGTTTTATAAATTGACACTTTTAACATTAGAACTCAAAGCAAAAAACGATGTAATTATTCCCTTTTTTGAAGCTTAGGTTTAATGTCTTTATTGAAAATTGGGTACTTCTATGGCATCTCAAGATGCTTTATTCTATCAAATCTGGAGCAAGTCATTTTTCATTTTGGATTGTAATGCGGTATAAATGATAAGGGCCTGATTCAGAAAGCTCCCCCCCCCCCTCCACAGGCAGCCTGACGAGAAAGCTTCATAGTCACATCTTAATAACCCTGAAGATAATCTATGGTTTGAGTCTTTGTGAAGCTGCTCGCTTTAATACAAGGGAAGGAGTGAGATTTTTTGAGCTCTTAGTTAGGGTGCCCGAACCTGCCTTGTCATCACAGGATTTCTACTTCCTTTTATATCTTTTACCAGACACAGGATGCTAAAAGTGTATTTCTCCTACAGCCTTTCTGGGCTGTGATCATGTCTCTGGGAGTGCTTCAGGTCTAATTTGAATCTTGGAGAAGGTAGCAGGTAGTGGAATGGAGAACATCTGGTGGTTAAAGCAAAGGAGGACCGAGAGATAGATGAGTTTTGTTATAAATTCTTCAGTTTTGTTCTGGAATGACCTGATCACATGTCTTCTTTCCCAGTGTCTGATCATTTGGATGTACCATGTATGATTCACATGTTAAACCTCACTGCGGTGACCTCTGTAACCTAGAGCAGCCCAGATAGATGGGGAGGTCATCACGAAGTCATGTGTTAGAGCTGGACTGGTTCTGAAGTTTTTGTGCTGTGGCAGGACACACAGGCTCCATTTAGAACCAGGGGCTGATGGTGCTGGCATTTCCCTAATGCACAGGAAGTCCTGGTGCCTGCCCTAAAGACCTTACCACCCATAAAGACAAATGGCAAGTACAGGATTTGTGTGAGGGTGGCTGCAGGAAGGGGTCAGTCCCTTAGTGAACTGTAGTCTTTTGGGGGATGTTTATCTGAAAGTTGATGCAAATGGAGGTGGGTTTCTTTGATCTGAGATTCTCAGGAAAACTCTCTTCTGTCATTTCAACTGCTCCCTGGCTTGTGTCAAACGTACCATGAGTGGGGTGTCCCCAGGGACTAGGCATTGCCCAGGTTGTAGCTGGGCTGGAGGGGAAGTGGGGCAGGGTTTGTGCATCAGAAGAGGGCTTGCAGTAAAGACATTTGTATTGGCATCTTTTATATTGTTCCAATTAGAAAGTTTCAGTTCCTGATGATCCTGCTGGGCATAGGTTCAAAGTTTCATTTGCACTTGGCTCGGCTCAGATGCTGGAGGAAACTTCCATGATGGGAGACAGATCCTTTTCCTTCAAAACCATAATGTCTCAATAGACATTAGGATTGGATTAGAGCTTCCTTTAAGGATCCAGTAGGGATTTGCTTGTGTTTTTCCAATTCTGCTTCTGTGATGTGGTGTGGTGATTAGAAGGGAGATTTTGAGGCATCCCTCAGGTTCTGAGAGTGGTCTGGCTACTTGCTTTTGTGGGTTCTGCAGTAATCAGAGCTCACTGAATGAGAAGCTTGGTACGTACATGTATTACTGAATCATAAAGGTTTTCCTGAGAGAACAGTGTTCATTCTTCATACTCCTAAATTATTTTATTGTCTAACTAGTAAATAGATATTGCTTTCTAGCCCTGAGACAACTGCTCTCTGGAAAAGGTTCAGTTATTGTTTCTTATATGGACTTTGCTGCCGTGCAGCGTACGTATGGTCCAAGGCCTTTCTCATTTGCTACTTAGCAAGATGCTCAGAGGCTTTGGTGGAAAGAGATAGAGCCCAAAAGCAGCTCTGAGAGCTACTGCAGTTTGATGCAAGGAGCGGGTAATGCAATTTGGTGGCTGGTGTAACATAAAGCTGCTTTTGTTAAGGAGTTAATGAAAGGGGAGTTTTAGTCTCTGTCCCACCCCGAGCAAGAGTAGGTGGGTGTTCTCTCTGGCTGTACGTTGGGTCGAGATCTCGACCTCCAGTGAACAGACTAATGTTGTGGAGCTGCTCCACAGCAGCTCTGTGCTGTGGGCTCGTTGCTGGAAGGGTTTATGTAAAGCAGAGCATCACTCCTGGGAAGCGGAGCTTGGACAGCACAAGCAGCTTGCATCTGGCTCTCATACTGCCAGGATGATCATTAAATAACACTTCAGTGTTGTAGAGCTCAGTGGTTTTGTTTTAAGTATTAAATAAAGATTTTCATTTAAGGGAATTTAGCTTAAGCATCTGGTTGCATGGCTGATGTAAGAGTACTGGAAGGCTGTAGAATTCCCAAAATGCATCAGGGAATGAAAGTCCTTACTATTTCATAAACTATACGCGATAAAAGTAGCTGGACTAATAGGTTTGTAATCTGTAACTGTGGGACAGAAATGTGTGCATATGTTAGAGGTGGGAACCCAGCACTTCCAGCAGAATACACAGCTGCTGTCTGAGGTGACAAAGTGATACACTCTTGGCTTTTGCCTTGTATTTCCTGGGTTGGTTATACCAGTGTGCCTACTCTAGGTGTCTCCTTTAGAAGTATATGATTTTCCCCCTTTATCACTCCTCAGGAACATGCAGGGCTTGTAAATTCCAGGTGGTATTTAACCCCTTCTAAAGTCACCTACGTTGTCTGACACGCTGTACAGCTGCCTCTCAAATCCACTATATTGCCTCTAGATAATGCCTGATGCCTCGGTGCCAATCCAGAAATTCCCAGAGTATACATCACCAGTTGGGTTATAAAGAGAGAAATTCTCATCTCAACAGGGGGTGATAACTGCATGTTAAAGAGTTGGATTAGACGGGTTATTATATGTGTTATTACTAGGTTTTGATGACCTACAAACTAGGGCATTAACCATATAATTATGTAACTTATGATTACCTATAAGTGCTCCCTCTTCAAATGGCTGTTGCAAATTCGATCTTTCCTCTGCTGAAGTGACCTGTCAGCTGCTCCTTGTGATTCATTAAATATGTTGCAACTGAGCTATAATCATCACTAGTTTTACAGAGTGCATCCAAACCAAGGATAACCGCTTTTGCTTTCACTGAAGCAAGCAGTCCTGGGTGTTGGTGTCTGTCTTCCTCACCCAGAGAAGTCTTCATCCCAAGGCTCACTTACAGTGTTTTTGGTTCTTGGGAGTTCCCTTGGAGCTTTCCAGAATCAGAAAGCCTCATGAGCGACAGATTAGCATGCAGAAACCAGAAATGGGTAAAACAATATTAACTTCTATAATTTCTCTTTTATAAACTCAATTTCAGATTACTTTCCCATGACCATTTTGTTTTCAGAAGCATTCATCAGAGCTCTAGGGTTTCGTTTCCTTTAAACTGACAACTTTTGGAATCAGACAAGATGCGTCTCTGCTGCTTGACAAGGTTCATATGTAAAGATAATGTTTCCTCTTAGACAAACTAGTATGGCTGGAGAGCTTAGGCAAAATTTGAGGCTGATGGGCCCTTCAAGTCTGAAGCAGAAGCTTTCAGTGCTAAGTACGTGCTGAATAAGCAGCTGCTTGGGGTGTAGTTAGATACACATCAGTTAGACCATCTCGGCGGCAGAGGGAAGATACTGAGTACAGTTTTGGCTAGGTCATAGCACTGACTACAAAATATTGCTAGATTATTTGTAAGCATCATCTGGGACACAGATGAAAGGTGGCAGAAGTTTATGAGGAAGAGTCATTCTGTGTCTTAGGTGTGGGAGAGATGTATTTCTCCGGAATGATCTGCTAGCAACATATGAACATGAAGGTTCCTATTTCATGCTTAGGAGTGTGTGTCCTCCAGAAATGACTTCAATGTGCTTCACGTTTTCTTCCCTTTTAATCTCTGCAGGCTTTTGCAGGAAGCTCAGAAAATGGCTTTTACATTCACAGCTTTTTCTGCTCTAACGCAGGCAGAATAATCTTCAACGTGGAAGCTGAAACCCTGTCCTGGGGTAGCACGTCCACGGAGAAGGTCACATACAACTGACAATGCTGAGCTAGTGAGATCTGCTGTTCTGGTTTTGTCAATGATTACCAGGGCCTGACAAAGGTTCTACCATGAGCATTGTGGTAACTTCTTAAAGTTGATTGGGAGCTATTAAAGAGTGATAAAAATCAGATATTTCTGACCATGGTGATCAAAGGAGGAATTCAGTGGTACTACAATAGGTGCTTGGAGTTCTCCGGGCATTGCCATCGGTATTGTTTAATGACCCAAGTGCTATGGCTACGTTGGGTAAATAGCAGCTTTAGCAGGCATAGAGAAAAGAAGTTCTTTGGAGACAGGGGCTTCAGAGGGACAACATAACTCACTTGCAAGCTGTCCTTGAACACTGGTGGTTGTCACATTGTGACTGTCAGCCAGGAGGTTGATTCCACTTCCAGAATCCTGATTTATTCAGAATCCTGCATATTTCCTCTCTGGGGTTTCACACACGTTGGTTGGGGTCATCATGACGAGGGTCATTTAATGCTTCTGCCCTACCTATAGGAATATGATGGTTTGGGAGCACAAATCCTCCACTCTGCCACGCTGAAAGGCAGGACAGTCAGTGCTAGTCAGCTGGGAGGCTCAGTGCATGGCAAGCATTAAGCCAAGAGCTCAGAAAGGGGAGCACCAAGTCCCTGGCAGCACAGAACAGGTTTTCTTGTCCCATCTTGTCCTGCACCCAAAACTTACGGCCATCCTCACACTGCTTGGTGTGTGTGGAGCAGTGCTGGGGGGACATTGCCTTGCTGCACCTTAGCCTGAAACCCCCAAACTGCCTCAACCCAACACACATTGGAGCTGCGTGAATCTCCTTCTTGTTCCCATTGCCCAGCCACCAGCAATTTCCCAAGCATTGAGTACATGTGTATGTAGTATTGAGTCATTTCTCTGGGGCTATTGTTTAAGTCTTCAAACCATGGAAGGAAACCGGGAGCCTGTTTAGATGTCACTAAAGGTCACTGGCTATTTTTACAGATTGTGTTAAAGAAAACCCAATCTGCACAAAAAGAATATTCAGATTGTGCAGTCAGGACTTTGAAAAGTAATTTTGCTGCCCAACTATCACAGATCTCTATGGACCAGGTGCACACTGAGTTTGCAGGGGCTCGTGGCTTGGCCAAAGGTGTGTTACTCTCCCTTTAAAGGATTCTTCCCTGGTACCACTGTGACTTTCCTGCCACATTCGAAAGCAGTGCTCTGAGCTATAGCACTGTGCTCTGTCCAACACTTGCAAGAGGTATCGGTTGTTGGGGTTTCTTAACTTGAGTAAAAGGTTTTCCTGTAGTGAATGAACTGCATTAGATGAAATTTTCACCCTAGTTCCAGCCAGGGCAGCATGGAAAGCTTTAATTTGAAAGATTAAAGTCAGGCAAGTCTAAGCAACCAGAGTCTTATAATAGTGAGTTTTGTCCTATGAGGTCGGGTTATCGAAGGGAAGTGTTTTTTTCTGTCTGTTTTGGTTTTGATGTCATTCCACCAAACATTTAATTGGGAGACACAGCATTAGCTTCAAACCCATTTTGAAGCAATGAGCATTAGTCAGACATAAACAAATGACTGGGGGCAACTGCATGAGTGCCAAGTGGTGGGAGAGATGTTAACAAGGGGCTTTGCAAGCTGCTTCCTTGAATGAATGAAGTAGCTGCAGAGCAGAAAGCAGAGCTGGCTCAGCCAGGGCTCTGGTGAGGGGAGCAGGGCTCCTATAGCATGCGGAAGGCACCTACATCTCCCAGTCTCAAGCAAGGTATGCGAATGCTCAGGGAAAGCAGGTTGGGGATGCTTTTGGTGTGCGCTGGAGTGATCCAGGCAGGGACATGGTGGACTTTGACCATGTGGTGCAGCTGAGCAGTGGCTGGATCCAAAACCCTGTCAGCCTGCTCTCCTGGGGGCAGCAGGGGGGACATTGTGGTGCTCCAGAGGCAACTTAGGATGTTAAACTGGAGCTTATGAGGTTAAATTGGCTGTGAGGGACTTACTCAAGGTCTTAAGTCAGAGCAGAGCTGGAGGTTCATTCCCACGTCCGTGGTCCCACCACTGGAACATGCTGCCCAGAATTGCTTGGGAATAGGTTTGGTTTTAATCTTTGTGCTGTTCTCCTTGCTGAGGTGCCTGGAATTTATCTCCAAAATATTCTGGAGGGGAAATGTGATCATAAAGCGAGAGCTCTGGGCTATGCGGGCTGCTTTTCAGGCTCCTAATGCCTTTGAAAGGGGGAAGTGTTACAAACCTGCCTCCTTTGGTTTCTGACAGGGAGAGTGATATAAAAAAAGGCAACAAAACCCAACAAACCATTTTAATCCTTTCCACTGAGTTCGTGTCAGCTTCAGCCTAACTCAGCCCACATTGCAGGAGCTTCGGGAGGCGTTTTATGTCTGTTAAAATGGATTTGGGTCTTTATTGCTTTCATGACTGTATCGCTAACTGGGGCCAGAGCCTTGCCCTGACTGACACGTGCAGTGGGTAGGCAATTCCTGCCCTCGGTGGCATAACAGAGACAGCTGCTGGGCCCTGGGTGAGGTTTGCTGAGCAAACCATGTGCCCAGCCTTGTGCAGCAGGGCTGAGCCTTCAGTTCCTCTCCAGCTCCTTACGCAAAACCCCGCGCTTCCTCTCGTGTATCTCTGGGGCCTCGTAAGACCCTTCCTCTTCCCAGCATTTCACATTGCAGCTGCCTGGCAGGGAATTGCCAGTCCTGAGCCTGCCCTTGTTGTTTTCCCAAGCAGAAGGAGAAAGCTTGAAGTTCCCTGACCCAGGGAGCTCATATCTGCCCTGTTGAGAGACATCCTCGGCAGGGGAGGGCATGGGTGCAGGCGAGGAGCGCCCGTGTCGGGCAGGCATCGTGCCTGCCTTCACCAGGCTGATGGGAACAGACAGGGACAAAGGTAAAGCTTGTGGCATGAAAAGGCTGCTTGTTGCAGTGTTTCATGGCCAGTGAGCGTGACCAGCCTTCAGGGCTAATTACCAAAGGAGAGAGAGGTATGTTCTTGTCAGCAGACCTACAGGGTTACTATTTAATGAAGCAGATATGCAGGTAGCTTGTTCAGTGGCATGAGCAAGTGACTGACTTGTGTCCACAAGGATGTAGGTGTGCGTGGCGGGGTGCTTCAGGTGGCTTTCAACCCCTGGTCTTCCCTCTAATTGTACTTGGGCAAAACTCTCCAGTTTTTCCTCTCTGCATTCTCAGCTCTCCTTTTCCCTTTTCCTACCCCAGCACATCTCATTTAATCCATCCCATCCTTTCATAGCTTTCCACCTTACTATTACTCCCCTTTTTTTCAGTCCCCGATGCTAATTGGCATTGAACAGCAGTGTCATCACTATTTCATCAGGCCAGCCCCAGCTCCCTGCTCATGGTTTGTGGAGCATGTGTGAGCTGGGAGCAGCCAGCATCCTCGTGCGCTTGCATCAGGGTCCCCCGTGGATCGCAGTTGCTCAGCACATCTGACAAGTGTTACTTGTCCTTTTCGTGGGACTGCCCGTGGAGGTGTGCAGGGGGTGCTGAGCTCAGCCAAGCCCTGGTGCTGTGCTGGCGGGGTTACAGCCAGCATAAGGATGCCTCCATGCTGCAGGAATCCCTTTGTATCACTGTGTCATCGTATGCCCAGGAATCAGTTGCGTGTTAAGCCAGTGCCTGCTCTGGGCTCTGTGGGAGACATGAGACAAAACATGGCAATTAATCAAGTGATGGGGTTTTTTTGCCCAAACTAGTAGGTTTGGGCAGACTCAATGGTTCTTTCTGACTCTTAAACTTGCACTCATACTCCTAAGCTGAGTTAATACAATTTACTCCATCCAGTATCACCTCTCAGACTTATCCTGACTTTGAGACTGGCCTGCTATAGGGGATGTCCCTTGGGGTCTTTTTGTAGGAGGTTGGCCAGGGTAGGACAGCTTGAAAAAACATGTTTGACTTGTATGTTCCCTGGAATTTGTGCAGTTTTCTCTGCACAGACCACGTTCAATTTTTTTCCTGGGATATTAAGAAAACATATCTTTGGAAAGAGCCAACCTTCCTTTTGTTATCCTCTTTGTCTCTGAATGCTGCACAAACCACCTGATATGAGGCACTGAAGATGTTTTGGTGGCCAGTCGTGTGCTTGGTCTCAGTTCAGTCTGTCACCCACAGGAGGACATGGGGCTGGGATGCTAGAGGCAAAGCTGTGCTACCACATGGGTGCTCTGGGTCCCAGCCCTGTACTCTGTGTCTCTACAGAAGCGACATACTGTGGAAAGCAGCCCTTGCTGGCTCCAGGTTTGTGTCACCAGTCCACTTGTAGTGATGCCGGGAATGCACTTGTGCTGCTTCACACTCTCCATTTTTACCAACAGGATCCAGGCCAGCGCTCTGACTCCACTGGTGACCTTGCGGGGGACATGGAACCACTGGCTGTCACAGCACCAGAGGGAGCAGAGGATGCAACAGCATCGTCAGTCAAGGTGGAAGGAGGGGACAAAGCAGCGGCAAGAGGGGAGGTGGAAAGCCCAAAGGGAGCAGGTCCAGGTGGAACAGGTCCTCAAGGAGCAGCGGCAATTGTGGCAGAAACATGGGAATACCCAGAGGCAGAAGTTGCTGCAGCATGTGCCCGGGCAGCAGAAAGGATTGCAGTGTCACAAGCAGCCAAGGTGTTGCAATCAGCAATAGCTGAGGTAGACACCCCACAGCCCCAGTTTCCCCCAGGTGCATCCTTCCCTTATCGAGGCTCGCATATACCCAATCACCTGGGAGGCTGCAGCTCCAGCACCTTCAGCCTATGGGGAGAGATCTTCAGTGTGGAAATATTGAAAGCAATAAAAAAAAAAAACAAAAAAAAAACCATCCCTGAAATTCCTGCTGAGAGTTTGTGCTCTTTTCCCATCTGGTTTCCCTCTGTCTTTCAGATGAGCTCTTTTTCATGGTAGCGGGCACTTTATCACGCCTGGTGTAGTTAAGGTTACAAAGCACTCTCCATTACAGCCCGCTGGCCACATGCTCATCCTGCTCCAAAGCATTCATATTTGGGGATCAAAAAAGGTCCACGCGTGGTGTTTACTCAGCAGAGAGTTTTTATTTGACATTTGAGCAATTATGTCTTGTGCGGTTCGTGCGCTCGCCGAGGTGATAAACGCGCCTTTCCCATTTGGAAAACCTGTCTGTTAACATTGACGACGTGGTGATGGATTTTCAGCAGGGCTGGGATTCGGGTTGGCCAGGGCTCGGTGCCCACTCCGAGCACCACATTGTCAGATGTGTTTGGCACCCAGCAGCTCCCCATTGGGTGTGAGACCCTTGGCCACGTTTGTTCCCATGTGTGGAGCTCTTTTGAAGAGCTGCCTGCCTGCAGCACCACTGAGCATCCACCTTCTGCTCGCAGGGAAATCTGGATCTCATCTCCCCAGGCTCCGGTTTCATTTTGGTTTGCAGGGTCAGCTTGTTGCTAGCACTGTTTCCTGGGCCCCAGAGCTGTCCTGAGTGCATGGTGTTGCTGGAGGATAATCTTTTAGCTTACCCCCCCAGTTTCGGGGCAGGAAAGGCTCTTCAGTGTGTGTTTGAGTTCCGGTGTGGTTTTACGTCTTGTGGAGGTTGGCTGGATTTAGGCACACAATTTAGGCAAACAATTCTCTAAAGCAGCCTGTGAATAGGAACCTTTATTTTTATATATCAGCAGCTTACTTTCTAGTGACCCTCCAGCACTCATGTATTTATTCTCTTGACTTTTCAGCTCAAAGAGAAGAGGAGCAGCACGTGGCTAAAGCCAAAGAACACCACTCAGCAGCAGGAGGAGGACTGGGTGGAAGAGGGAAAGGTGAAATGAAATGAAGGAGAGCTGGTGTTCTGGACCATACCTGATGGGGAGCAGGTACCCTGGCACCATGACAGCTCCTCAAGTGCAATAGGGCTGCTGGTTACATCTCTTTTGTGACTGCCCATGCTATTAAAAATAAAGATATGCCATATTCCACACCCAGTTCAAGGTCTTTCTAAGGCCCTTGTCTCCTGGTTTTATGAAATGGCAGCTCTGCACCTCTTCCCCAAAGATAACCTAGAATAAAGTGTGCTGCTCATGCTGGAAAACAAGCTCTTGGCATGAAACTATAGAAAAAAGATGCTGTAAATGTGGGGTCAGGTTTGTGTGCCTGTAGGCCAAGAGATGGTTGTGGGAGCACAGCTAATGTCAATTGGTTTCACATCCCAGCAGGGCAGGTGCAGGCTCCAGTCTGCTTGCTCCAGCTCTGATGGGTGTTTCTTGCCTACATGGGAATGGTAGGTTATTATCTCTTTTTTTCTTATTTATTTTCTAATTCTGCTTATTCATCTGGAGCAGGGAATGGGGAAGGTCGCTCCATCCACACTGATAATGGTAAAGTCATGCAGAAGAAAATAAGGAAATGGGAAACAGCATCTCCAGAACACAGCGGTGGACTTGCCAGCATGAATGACATTCCCCAGGCAGTGCAGGATGATCTGTGAAAGATACCCCTGTTTTTTGAGAGGAAAACCATTATTTGTTGTTTTTTTCAGCCTCTGAGGTGTAGGTAAGTCTGTGTTGTAGTAAGAGGTGGTGATGGGCACCCAGAAGTGGTGGCATGTTGGTGGCAGTTGTGGCATCGTATGGAGCCATTCTGTGTGTGAAATGTGGGAACAGACCCCTGATATAACTGGAGGGGAGAGTGTTGGGGATCTACTGCCTGGTGATGAAGGTCTCCCTCCATCTCCCCCTCGGGAACCGTGTCCTTGTGTCACAGCAAAGTCGAGGGGTTCGGTGCCAGGCCCGAGTCCTGCAGCACCCCCACATCCAGTGCACCTCTGCTGGCTTCTTCCTGTGTCTAGTGACAGGCTGGGGAGGAGAGAACAGCAGCGTCTGATTAAACCTCAGCCCCCCTGGCCCTAGATCTGAGGAGGCAGAGCCCGCCCTCCCTTCCCTTACCATAATTTCATTTTATTACAAAAAGAGCCCGTATTAAAAAAGCTCATGATTATGTTTTCTGTTCACCAAGACTTTTCCTGTATTCGACCTTTGGATAACCTCCAAGGCTTGCAAACATTTGAAAGGAGTAAAGGAGCTCGTTTTATTGCAGGGCCTCAGCATACATTCTTTCCAGCCTATCTTTAACATCAGTTGACAAGAATTATATAATTGCAGTCTGTGATCCCTTTAAGGCTAAAATGTATTCGTTTTCCCTCAAAGAACACTTCAGGTTTCAGAGTTAAATGTAGACTCCCCCCCCCCATCTGGGTTATTCTGTAAAAAGCTGTTTTCTCTTAAACTGGCAAATCTCATTCCACCAAGTTGCATGGATTTATTTTTTACTGTGGTTTTAAGCTCACATGTTAACAAGTAGAAGAAATAGCCTCCAAATCCCAACCTGTGTTTGCCATTCCATTGGAAAATTAGTGGGTTACAGAGAACACGCAGGGGGAATTATACTCCTTAGGTGGAATCAAGTAAAATTTCAACATACTGGTTTAATCAAATTAGTGCCTAATGCTAATTGATAGGCAGTCTGGAGATGGACAGGTAGCTGGATTGGATTTGATCTTGCATTTCAGGGGCATGACATAATCTGGGTCAGGAAGGAATTTCTGGTTTCCTATCGGAATGGCATCTGCCACCATGTTATAGGAAGCCATTGACATAGGATACTTGAAGAGGAGTCAGGGAATGATGCCAAGAAAGAAGTCTGAAGATAATACCTGGAATTTAAGAAATGACTTGGCTGTTCCCACAGTGACATTCCATTTGCATTCGTTCCTCACCGTGCAGGGTCTCGCTCGTGCTTGTGCTCCTGGAGAGTAAAATAAGCTCATAAAGGTGGGAGTATTCCTGGAAGCTTTCCATGGTGGTTGTGTCTGTGTGTTGGGGCCGGTGGTGCTCAGATGCTCTGCTCAGGTCCTCCACAGTGATGCCACCATGGTGCTCTGAGCATATCCATGGTGCTCCTCGAGAGTGAGTGTGAAGTTCAAAGAAGCTGCAGTAACCCCTCACCCCTCCAGCGCTTCTGGACAGTGGGAGATGAAGGGAGCAGCAGCCTGGTCATGGGTGTTCACATGCAGGAAGGGAAGTTAAATTCATCTGGTAAATTGGCTATTAGGGGTGATTTAGCTGGTTGAAGCTGGAGGGGAGACTGGACTCAATGGGCCGATTGTCTGCCCTGGTACAGCAAAGGAGCTGGGTGGAGTTGAGACCAAGAGGTTTTGAGGGGTTTTGGGGTTGTCCTTAGTCTTGCCATGGACTCACCCCAGACCTGGGATTCCTTACTGGAAAGGAGGACAGCGGCAGCCAGCGTGCTGCCTCCGTGCTCCTTCATCTAAGCACTTGAGGAAGTGCAAACTTTTATTCCAAATAACGTTTGCCAGTAAAAATGGGTCCCTTCTTCAAATATTTGGTTAATCTAACACTGATTGCCCCCATTCCCTAAGGGGAGGAGGCGGCAGGGGCAGCATTCCTGGTTTTATAGAGGGGCAGGTTTGAAAGGGCTGTAAATGCATGTGGTGGGGGTTGGATACAATAACCTCAGAGAGAGGAGCCAGGAACAGAATCCTTTTAATGAACTACAAGCCCACAGTTTATAAACTTGGACACAGATTACGCTCCTGCCTGGTGTATAAAAATAACCGCGTTTGGGTGCCTTTGTGGCCAAGGGATCTTATAACCTGTTAAGTTTTCGCTGCCTGTTTTTTCTAGCAGAGGCAGGACCTGTGTAATACCCTGCGTTGCACTGAAAGGGAAAATCTCCGGCCTGTTAAGCTGTTCCCTGCCTTTGGTAGCCTCTCTGTATCAGGATTCACATTCTTGTTTCCGTTTCAAACGGGAGACTAGTTTACAAGGCAAGTTCCTCCTTGGAGATCACAAGAGGCTTTCTTTCCCCTTTCTTTTTCTGAGAGGAAGGATTAGGTCACCAGTAATACCGTTTGCTTTTTATTTTTTTCTCCTTTGGCTAATCTGCTCTCCAAGATGTCCATGTTACAAGAGAAATAAAAGGCTTAAGTGAGCGCGGGATTTCTTCCCCTCACCTGAGCACTCCAGCCAAGAAGGGTGATTTGCAGAAATCGCTGCATGGAAAAGCCCTAAACCCAAACTGCAGATGCTTATAAGACAAAGCTGAAAGATAGCAGAGCAGCAGGTGCCATCTCCTTACATTGCAGGGCATGTTCTACCTGCTCTTAAAGAGGTTGGTGGATGGTGATTATGGATACGGCTGCAGTGCATCCGGGTGTATTGTACCTGCACACACAGCTTTGTGCAGTCCCTCACCTGCAATCAGGAGGCTTATCATCATTCAAAGACCCTTATTTTCTATTATCTTCATGTATTGTGTGTAGTGCAAGCATTCATTTGAAGATGTGCTGTTTGAACCTGGCACCCTTCCTGATCACTGTGCGCTGTACGGTGCTTGGCTTCACCCGAGGGGAGGATTCGTACAGACGCCGGCTCCTCTGTGCAGAAAGTTTTGGGACTTTAAACAAAATTACTTTGGTCAGAGCACAGTGAGCCTGAACAGATTATTGTTTTAGTGAAATCCGTATTGTTACTGTTCAAATACCAAGTACTGGTACCTGGTTTTGGTAAGGCACAAGGATTTTGCAGCAGTAAGTATGAATCTGCGTCGGGGAGTTTGTACCTAGCACAGGAACAGCTTGTTCATGCTGGTCACATTACATTTGGCAACCGATATTTAAAGAGCCAGGTCTGTCTGGATTTAAATCAGCCCAGCTCTGCTGAACTCTGCGCCAGGCTTTGCCAACCAAGGTTCTGCCACTCAGATGTTTTCAGCTACTTTTTTCAGTCCTTTCTTCCCCAAGAGTTTAAAAAATGCAATTAAATGGACAGTAATACCCAGCAGCTAGGCATAAAAAGCTATTTATCTAAGGATATCAAAGTACTTGACAAAGGTGGGTAATTCTCACAGTGCCCTTTTTCTGCAGGGTGGGATGCTGGCACGTAGAGACAGTGAGCAGTTTATCTGAGGAGCAGAGTCGGTAGCAGAGGTAGTAATTAAAACTTGGGTCTCATGACACCCAACTCTGTACTGTAACCACCAGACAAACTGCCTCCCCGAACCGTATCTCATCTCTATCTCCCTACATATGCACAATAAAGCCTTTGTAGTATATGCTGTACACTTGCTATTGATAGTTGTATCAGCTGAAAGATAATGCTTGCTCTCCTCACCGGCTGCGAGTGTGCTCCGTGCAACCTCAATTATCTGAACAGAATGGGGGAGAGGGGGAGAATTTGGGATAATTGAGGTTTCAAATAATTGAAAAGAGCTTTTGGTGTCATTAACAGGCGCAGTTGGGACACAGCGTGTTTTGGAGAGCAGGTTTGGATAACTGATGTCGAACTGTGCCATCGGTTAATAACCACCATGCTATGGTTTTGGTTTTCTTTTATACTGCAAGGAGGGGTGTCTCTTCCTTGCTTTGTTTTGGAGGTAAAAAAGGATAAATGTGTTTCAGATGTGTGTTGCTGGTGTCCCTTTAAGGTTGGTGGAGACCAACAGCCATCCTGCTGTTAATGGAAAGGCACTTACAGACATGGGGAGGTTAAAACCACCCCTCAACAGGCATTGCGAAGCCCAGACGGTGACGGGGGGTGGGCTCTGTGGGTGGCTCAATGTCCACAGAGAGGCAGGACCAGAGAGCATCTGAAATATAATTTCCCCTGCATATGCTGTAAACTGTGGGATTTCAGCTGTTAACGTGCTCCATGCAGACAAACAAATGCACGGTTACTGCAGAGACACATTCGTTTATGAAGATAAAGCATGACCCACAGGACCTGCTTGCAGCGTCTTTACAGTGAGAGCTGACCTCCCTGTGATGGAAACCTTTACTAGAGCAACTGTGCTAACTTTCACTGTGCCACCCATCCCTGCCTGCCTTCTATGCAGGCTCCTTTGTTCCTAAACAACAAACGACAGCATAAAAAGATGGGATGAAGTCTGCAAAGTGCAGCAC